TGTGTGCCTGTGTGTCTGTGCAGGTGACTGTGCATGGGCCTCTCTGTGCGTGTAGGTGAGTGTGCCTGTGTGTCTGTGTGCCTGTGCATGTGTCTGTGCCGTCCTCCCCGTAGCCCCTGTGGTCGCGGCATACACACGTCTCTGATCTCCGGCCCAGCGCCCTTGTAGGCCTGCAGGTCGGTGAGGATGCTCTCGGAATCCTGGAGCACGGCGCTGATCTGGTTCCACGTCTCCCTCTCCCCCTCCGTGGGCTGGGCATCTGTGCAGCGGGGAACCAAGACACACAGGTGGGTTTGTAAAAGCGTGAGCATGGCAACCAGCTCACTGCTGACAGCTCCATCTCACTCCCGCAGGCCGGGTGGCCACTACTGACCACAGCAGGCTGCTAGGAAGGAAAGGGGCCCAGTCTCCCCGGGGCTGGACTGAGAAGGCCCCAAAACCTTGCGGGACACCCTACATCCAGGGTGTTGGGATCACCGTGCTCCGTGTTTATTGATGTAAAACACATTTTCCGCATACCTGCTCTTTATACCAGGTGACGAAAGGAACAAACACTCGTTTGGGATCATTTTTTCCTTCTTGCCTATTATTTTTTAAACCCAAAGCCTGTTTTCAATTGTGGTAAAACACACATAAAGTAAAATGTATCATCTTAACCTTTTTCAAATGTACAGCTCAATGGCGTTTCGCGCTCCACAGTTCTGTGGGAAACCGAAACACTGTATTGGGTCTGCTTTGAATAGAAGATATTTCGGTTATGACTGAAAATCTGTGGGTCTGAATAGAGATGGAAAAACCAGTCCCCTTCACATTTTCATGGACGAATAAGCTTTGGCCTTGCCCACGACTGTTAGCCCAGACATAAGTGCCACGGTCAAGCTCTCACAAATGCAGATGGTACTGACAGCCACGAAGCACCCTCTGGGCTCCTTGGTGACCTCTCCCCGGGGTGCAGCCCTGGAACCCCTGCAGCTCCTCTGTCCCAGAAGTATCTTGTGGGGTGGTGAGCGGAGGCTGAGAGGGGGCAATGCTGGTTTTATTTCCCTCACACTTGCTCTGAACCAGGTCAGCTGCCCTGTCAGGCTGGGGAGGAAGTCAGTGTCTCCTCGTGAATCCAAGGGAGAGGCCACAGGACGAGGTCATCTTGTGCAGCTCCACTTCAGGTGTATGGATCCAGTACCCTGACGCTGTCAACACACCCTGCGGTCGGCAGGACAAGGATGAAGCGACATCTGAGTCAATACTTCCTGATCTGCCCCTGTTCACCATTCTCCATGCCATGCAAAAGCTCAGTCCTACAAAGGAGGATGTGCTGCCTTTGCTGGGGTTGCTCTGGGGTGTAAATGGCAGCCTTGCTGATGGGCTGTGAGGCCTGGGAGGTTGTCAGTGGGAGCATCCACCCTGTTCCTGTCACCATTTGAGCTATGATGCCACAGAGTCGATTTAGTGTTCACACTCCTTGTGTGGAGTTGGTACACGTACACAACACATCTTCTTTCCTTTTTCCATTCATTCTCTTCCCCTCTCTCTCTCCATCTTTGATCCCTTTCCCCTTTGAGACAGATCTCCCTACTTCCTACTATTCATCTTTTATTTTGCTGTTTAATGTATTTATACTTTGAGTTTCTCACATAAGAGAAACTATGTGCTATTTAAGCTCTGTGTCTGATTTATTTCACCTAAACTTATGATCTCAAAGTGCATTCATTTTCCTACAATGACTCTTTTATCCTTCTTTATGGTAGAGTAGTGGTCCATTGTGTGTAAACACCACATTTTCTTTATCCATTCATCTGTTGATGGACATAGAGCCCACTTCCAACATTTGGTTGTTAGGACTTGTGCTGCTATAAATATGGGTGTGCATGGATCACGATCGTACGACGTCTTTTAACTCTTTTGTGAAGAACCTTAGAAGGGAACAGCTAAGTCAAATGGAATTTCTACTTTCAGTTTTTTGAGGAATCTACACACTGATCTCCACAGTGGTTGTACCAGTTTACATTCCCACCAACACTGCAGAAGGGCTCCTTTTCCTCTGCAGCCTCACCAGCATTCATTCTTTTTTTTTCTTTAAAATATTATTTTTAATTAGAAAAAATAATCTAAATAGCTATTGGTATTTGTTGTTTTTGTTTTTCCCTTTTGATGAATGTATCAAAAAAATCACAACCTAAACAAAGACAATCTCCTAAAGAGAAATTTATTTGGATAAGATGAAAAGCAAGCCAGGCATGGTGGCACATGCGTATAATCTCAGCACTGGGGAGGCTGAGGCAGGAGGATTGCCACAAGTTCAAAGCCAGCCTGGGCTACATAATGAGTGCAAGGCTGGCCTCCACCACATGGCAAGACCTTGTCTAAAAAAAAAGAGGAAAAGCAAAATAGAGTCTGGGACCAAGACCCTAGGAACTCAGACAGCTGAGTGCAATTATAAAATACTCTGTTAAAGAGGATGACACCAGGAAGGAATGCTTCTCAGTGTGGTGCTCCCGCTCAGCAAGTCACCACTTGAAAGGTTTTAGATGGAGCAGAACTAAAACTAAGTGGGCTGGAGTAGGAGTGCTGGAAGAGCCCAAACACATCCTGTGGATGGTTACACTTAGACACAAGAGAAATATTTCACAGCAGTTTTTTCAAGTAGAAGACTTTCTTAGGCACTTCAACAGTACATTTTTCAAGCCTGGGGAGGTGGTGCACATCTGTAATCTCAGCACTGGGGTAGGCTGAGGCAGGAGGATCCCAAGCTCAAATTTAGCCTGTGCAACTTAGCAATTTAGCGAGGCTCTGTCTCAAAAATGCAAAAGGGTAGAGAATGTAGTTCAGAGTGAACGCCCAAGGTTCAATCCCTAGTACTGGAAAAACAAAAACAACAACAAAATAAAGAAAGAAATTTTTCAGTAGGGTGGCTTCAAAGCCGTAGTGGGGCTGGAGACTGGTGTGGCTTCTCTCTGCATGGCAGGGAGTGACCTTTTCTTTCTTTTTCTTGTTTTAAATTTTATTGGCACATTTTATGTATACAATTCGTTTACATTCATCATTGGGTGCTTGTACTTGTACATGATGTATCTTGGTTCTTATTTTTTTCCCCTTTACCTGTGTGCCCTTCACCCCCTCCGCCCTTCCCTATTTACATAGATTTCGTTTCCTTTTTTTTTTCTTTTCTCATAGTTTTTCCTTTCCCTCTTTTCCTTTACCCTTCCCCTCCCTTCACTCCTTCATCTTCGGAACTTTTTTCCTATTTCAAATTATCAATTATTCATTTTAATCATTTTAACCCTTGTTTACACTTTCAGTTTCTCACACTAGCGAAACTATTCGGTATTTACACATGTGTGTTCTATTTATTTCACTTAAGAGTATGGCCTCGATATGCATCCATTTGGCTATAAATGACTCTAGTTTTTTGTTCTTTATGGCTGAGTAGTACTCCATTTTATTAAAAAAACACATTTTCTTTATCCAGTTTCCAGTTGATGGGC